ATCTGTGTAGTTACAGTCCATTGTTCATTCAGGTTTGCTTCCTGAAACTGGTCTGTTCAAGTTTGCTGTGGTGATCTGATTTCAATATGTATTATTCGTTTTTATAGTTTCATCAGATTTTGAGGCCAATTTTGTGTCCCAATCGTAGATAGAGATCTTGTAATTGCTAATCATTGTAAGAGATAGATACAAAGAGCAATAATTCATCCCATTTGATGACCAATGAAATAAAATATTAGCATCATTATGCATTTTTATTCATTATAGGCTCTGCTTTTATATTGAAATATTCTGTAATTGTCACTCTGAAAAATAGCTTGGCAAGGATCAAAGTGAGTTTGGATTGATGCTTATAGAGTTATTTAATTATACACTTACTTGAACGGAAAAGTTTCACCAAATGGTTCGAAAAGGTTAAAAGACGTCGGTGTTAATTTGCTGTTGATTTTTATTTCTTGTCGACTTTGGGTCGATTCGTCCTCCATCCTAAGATGCAGAGGTTTTGGAATCGTCCTCGCCATAATATTTGTTCCTTTTCTCTCTAACAACAATGTCACCTTTATCGTTTGTAAAACTATCAATAAAGCTAACAAAGTTGGCTATGATTAATTTTATTATATTAATGAATGTCGTTATGTCCGTCACCAGATGTTTTCGATAATCCCCTGACATTTTAAGTAAGGTTAAACTCCTCTCGATGCCTTAAATGACCTTCATTGTTGTCGTTGAATCCTCATCACACTTGTTGCTCATAATGTCACTTAAGTCAGAAGAAGATAATGGTTCGTTTATTTTTGTGTAGGTCTACTTTTGAGAGTCGGGTTAAAAAAACTATCAGATTTACAAGCTCCTAATTTGAATTACTAAATTAAAAAAATTATTATAGAATTAATTAAATTAAAACAATATGAAATATACTAGGAAGATTAAAAAAGTTTATGGTTGGGTAGGATATTTTTAAAATTGAAAAAATAAATTATAATAAGAGATGAATGTAATCTAACTACTTTTAATCCAGATTATTATATGCCACGCAGAACACACACTCTCTCTCTCATTGCGCGGGGAAGTTACCGATGACACGATTAACTTATCATCGTCCTGGAATTTGGAACCATATCAGCATCACTGTTATGGTGCTTCAGACGCCCACAAATGGCGTCCTCTTTCTTAATGGTTGTACAGCACACCCACTCTTTCTCCTCCAACTCTCTCTGTAAGTTCTCACTTCTCGCCCTTTGTTTACCGCGTTTTCCCACTTTCTCTACTCCCAAACACACACTTTGTTTACTTAGAGTTGGAGAGGGAGTTGTAGGAGAACTTTCAACCACTAGCAGAGACCGTAGACTTTCCAATTCCATGATTCAGAAGCTAAACAAAAATGGGTCTCGTCATTTAGGGAATGGAAATGAAATACTCGTTAAGAAATGTGCGGAAGACCTTGTTTATTTAGAGGTGGAGGAGAGGGATGAGACACGGCTTGAGAGGGATAAAAACGCTAGGAATAGGAATGGCTCCGCCTCTGCTAATGGAATGAAAATGGGTGCTGGGGTTTCTTTCCTTAAGTCTAGAAGTGACAGTGGTTCCACAAAAGTTTCTAGGGGCGCAGGGGATGGTAGGAAGATTAAGGACAAGAGCAAGCGAAATCAGGTATTAGAGGTGAAGGAGAAATTTTCTGAAGAGAGTTACGATACCCCATTTAGAGCAGACTTGGATATGTGCTCAAAGACAGGGGATATAGCGGGCGCTATTGAATTGTATGAATGGGCTCAAAGGGAAGGAATTAAGCTGGAGCAATATCATTATGCCGTGATTTTGTATCTTTGTTCCTCAGCGGCTTTGGGTGTAATCCAGCCCGCAAAAAGTGGTAGAGATAATCGAACTTCAAGTTCACTAGCTTCGTCTAATATGGGTTCTTTCGAAAATCCCATTATACTGGATGAACAACATTCCTCCAAGATTAGTTCTGTTTCAAGGAGTGAAAGTTATGAAAGGACAGAAACGAATGCCAAAAATGATGGAAGTAAGGAGAATATAGTTCATACAAATAGATCTATGGTGTCCAAAGCTCGGATTATTGATGAGAAGAGCTATTCAAATATTTTGGTAGATGAGGATTTTAAAAAATATGCTGTCGAGAAAGGATTCGAGATCTATGAGAAGATGTGCACAGAAAAGATCCCAATGAATGAAGCAACCTTGACATCTGTGGCCCGAATGGCAATGTCCATGGGGGATGGTGATATTGCTTTAAATATGGTGAAGAAGATGAAGCCATTAGGAATTAATCCTAGACTGCGGTCTTATGGCCCTGCCCTTTCTGCTTTCTGCAATAATGGGGAAATAGATAAAGCATTTGAAGTTGAGAAGCACATGTTGGAGCATGGTGTGTATCCAGAAGAGCCTGAGTTGGCAGCACTTCTAAAAGTTAGTATAAACGCCAGCAACGCTGAGAAGGTGTATTATTTATTGGATAAACTGAGAACAAGTGTAAGACAAGTCTCACCCTCTACAGCAGATCTTATCAGTACCTGGTTCAAGAGCAAAGTTGCTACAAGAGTGGGGAAAGGAAAATTGGATAGAACAAAAATAAAGGAAGCAATGGAAAATTGTGGTGGAGGTTGGCATGGATTGGGATGGTTGGGAAGGGGAAAGTGGAGTGTATCATCTACAAATGTTGGAAAGGATGGTTTGTGTACATCCTGTGGGGAAAAGTTAGCAACAATTGATCTTGACCCTATTGAAACTGAGAATTTTGCTAAATCTGTTGCAGCTATAGCCACACAAAGAGAGAAAAACTCGAATTTTCAGAAATTTCAAGTATGATAAGCCATTTGTGTATTGTTATTCATAATCTCTACATTCTAAACGTTATGTTGAAGGGTTTTTCTTTCCCCTTGTAGGAATGGCTTGAATATTATGGACCATTTGAAGCAGTGATTGATGCTGCTAATGTAGGCCTATTTAGCCAAAGAAGATTCACACCATCTAAAGTAAGTTATCAGCACACTGTTGTACTAACTGTTCTTTTGGTTCTTGTGGAGTCTCATTTCTAGCTCATTGCTTTAGGTCAATTTAATTGCCAACGGGATACGGCCGTTGCTTCCTTCAAAGAAGCGGCCTCTGATTGTATTGCACAACAGGCGAATTACTGGACGTAAGATGGATGAACCAGTAAATAAAGCATTGATTGAGAAGTGGAAAAATGCTGATGCACTGTATGCAACGCCCACTGGATCAAATGATGATTGGTGAGAACTAATTCATCTTCATATATTAACTTCATAGTTTGTGTTAGGAACCACGACTCTCCACAATGGTATGATATTGTCCACTTTGGGCATAAGCTCTCGTGGCTTTCCTTTTAGTTTCTCGATTCCTTACTTATAAATCTATGATCATCCCTTTAATTAGCCAACGTGAGACTCCCTCCCAACCATCTTCAATGGTTCGATGGATAACATGTGAAACTTCTTGTTTTATTGATGTGTATATGAAGCATTTTGTAACTGACCTATTCTTCAGGTACTGGTTGTATGCAGCAATCAAATTCAATTGCCTAATTGTGACGAACGATGAGATGAGAGATCATACATTCCAACTTCTTGGAAATGATTTCTTCCGTCGATGGAAAGAAAGGCATCAAGTGAGTGAAGCTCATCCAAAGAGAACTCTTTCAGTAAATGAATGGGATACAGAATTGTTTTCTAATTTTACAAAAAATCAATGGCACAAGTTGTTTTAAATGATTGCTGATACAGATGTGTTCTTGGTTTCTTATGACAGGTGCACTTTAGTTTCTCCGCTACCGGTCCAGTGTTTCACATGCCCTCACCCTGTTCTGTCGTAATCCAGGTCAACCTATATTACAAACATTGAAAACACACAAACATGTCTGTGTGTGTGACTAGGAAGTAGGAACAGAAGAAATGTGTTGGGTTGTCTATATATTGCCTGTCTTGTGTCACAAGCTCAAGAATTAATATTTAATAATATATTTCATGGTAAAATTTGTTAACAGGAATCAGAGAATGGCCATTGGCATGTGCCCCTTGCTTCTGAGCATGGTTATGAAGAAGATAGAAAATGGCTATGTATTACAAGAGGGAATTCACAAGCACGCATGATGAGGCGAGAGTCTCCCCTCAAAGTTGAAGGTACGTAATAATTCCTTCACCCAGTAGTTCCTCATTGGAATACATTTAGCTGGTTACTCAAGCTCCCTCTAGATCTCTTCAGGGTGAATATGTTACCGTGTGTTGTCTTTGAAGTCATGGTTCAATATCATAATCGGCTTTTACATAAAATATGACAAGTCTTTGTCAAATACTGTTGGATCAAAGCGGCTTTTACTCATATGTTGTAATAGCCCAAGTCCATTGTTAGATGATAGCCATTATGTATAGTCGTCAGTCTCATGGGAAAATTTTTTCACACCCTCGTAAGGAATGCTTCGTTTCCATCCCCGACCGACGTGGGATCTCACAATCTACCCCCTTAGACGCCTAATATCACAATCGCCGTTTCAAGCATGACCGTGACACCGAGCATCCTTTGGCACTAGATTTTGTGCCTGACCATTATTTCCGAATTATATGTATACCTCTGTATAATCTGATCTGCTCGTTATCATTGAACAGAACCAGAACCGCAGCCTCTTCCTCTCAGCAAAGGAAGTTTGGAAACTCCGGCCGACGTCGAAATCAAGAAACAACCCTCAAGCCAAGTCAGAAATTCTCCACGTGAAAATTACAGAAGTCTCGAACAAATATTTTCTTCAACTGTGTTCTTGAACAAATGCAACTTACTATCAGAAATAGAAGCCGCAGAGAAGCTTGGAGGCTGCACTATAGACTTCCAAATATGAAAGGAAAAAAAATAGGATTTCTTCCATTGTTGTCCACTATACCAATTTTTCCTTTTCCTTTTCCATTTCCAATCTCAATGTTGTTACTGTAACTCGGATATTCTTCGTCTAACATATCAATGAGTAGTGAAAAGAAAGGGGAAAAGGTTGATCATAAGAAAAGTGGTCACGAGAATGCAAGTTTCAAAAGTTTGGCATTCAGCAACAAAACCCATTCATGGAATAGCTTCTTGCAATGGTAAAAGTTGTACCTTTTATGGATATTCGTGTAAAGAGGCTCTCAGCTTTTATTTACAAAAAAGAAAAAAAGGGTCGTGACGGTGTCAATCAGCTATAAGATACAAATAGAAGTCACGGGCTGAAACAATTCTGTCACTCTCTTTCTTTGTTTTTGATTCAGACTGTTGTCAAATTCTTTTCCTTCAATCGTTTTCGAACTTTATCTGTTATTGTTGTTGTTGTTTTTTTTATTTTAATATCATTCCAGGTTCGATTTGAAAATACGAGTCACGGGCCTACAGTCATTGTCTTTCTCCGTTTAGAGACAAAAGGCACCATCTCTTCCTCTTCTTTTTCGAAGATAAATAGGCATCCAGTGAGCTTTTACAGCCGTTTTAACTTATCAAATCTGTTCAGGCACGGTGAAGAGAATGCTGAGCTCTATATCTTCTAGTGGTTTGAATGCAGAAGCAGAGGCTGAGGAAGGTGCTTGCTTTCAGAATTCTCTTCTGGTACGCCTTGCTCCTTCACTCTTTAATCTCATCTTTTTGCTGGAAAACAAAAATGCTTAGGCTTTTTCATTTTGGAACAAACTCAAAATCTCTGCAGAAAGAATACTAAGGAAGGGTATAATATGCTTGGCTTTACTGGGTTTTTCTTGGGAACAGATTCGAACTTTCTGCAGGAATAAAAAGGGGGAATGGCGATAACATGAATGAACTTTACTGGGGTTTCTTTTTCTGGAACAGATTCAAACTCTCTGCAGATTTTCTGGGGTTATTTCCTTTTCTGCATTGGAATATAGTCGAACACTCTGCAGAAAAATAACTAAAGGAATAGGCCAAGCCCAGTTTGTATTATATTGGTTGAGCTCTAAGGTAGTGGAGTAGAACTTAAAAGCATTTATGCACTTATTAATTAGAATAGTTATCAGAACAGGCTCTTCAACATACATTGATATATATAACTATTAGATTGACCTAAACCATTGTGTGGTAATCGGTAAGAGAAAGATTTATATATTATGTGGTGTGAGATCCCACGTTGGTTGGAGACGCGTTTTAAAAACTTTGAGGGAAAGCTTAGAAGGGAAAGTACAAAGAGGACAATATTTGCTTGCGGTGAGCTTGAGCTGTTACAAACGATATTAAAGCCAGACACCGGGCGGTGAGGCTGAGCCTCGAAGGGGCCTGGACACCAGGCAGCGTGCCAGCAAGGACGCTGGGCCTCGAAAGGGGTGGATTGAGGATCTCACATCGATTGGAGAGGAAAAAAAGAAAGCTTTCTTTATAAGGGTGTGAACCTCTTCTTTAGACGCGTTTTAAAAACTTTGAGAGAAAGTCTAAAGAACACGGTTCTACTAGTGGCAGTGGGCTTGGGCGGTTACATCGGATCTCCAACACTAACATAACTTTTTTTTTTTTTTTTCTTTTCTAATCATTTGAGTTTCAGGAACTAAAAGGATTGCGTTCCCAGCTTCATCAAGCGGCAGACTACTGTGAAACAACGTTCCTGAAAACTAATGAGAAGAATGAGTGAGTCTCTTCTCTTGACTTGCGTAAAAGCACTCCTGTTACATACCATGTGCCGTAAATGATACCAGCTTTCAACTGCAGAGTGGTGGAAAACACAAAGGAGTACTTATGCAGGGCCATGGTAGCTGTGGTAGACCATCTTGGAAGTGTCACTTCCAATTTAGAGATCTGCATTTCTCAAACCAACGCCTTCAACGACGTCGAGCTTCGATTGAACTGCTTAAACCAAGTACGTTTTCTCTGATTCATTATTACAACACTCATCCACACGTACCCTCTTCCAAGTTTCATTAAAAAGCCTTTGCTTTCCGGCAGAGGCTCCTCTCCTGCAAACAATACGCTCAAAAGCTTGAACTATCCCGACTACGTTGGTGCGAAAACCTGCCCAGATATCATCCCCGCTATGTCTCACCCGGTAAGCATCTCGTTTCTCATCTCATTTAACCATAACAACGATCTAGAGCCATTCTTTTCAATGATTTCTTTCCATCATCCTGCTGTTCCTGTTCCAGTTAGTAACAGTGCTGAACCATTAAATCGAAGTTCAAGGTGCACCCTCTTTTTTCCCCCTCTCAATAATCATCACGCGTGTGTATATATACATATATAGCTTTTGTGTCTGATGGGTTGAATACAGTATCAACCAGTGCAGAGAGTTGAAAGATCTTCCGTTAGCAAAGGGTGACATTTTTACAGAGAAGCCAACGCCGGTTCTATTGTACAAATTCTACACTTACAATCTATTTCCTCCTAAAAACTTGACTCATGGATTCCCCTCAAAGAAAGATGAGAAGGAGAAAACATTAGATACACTTCAAAAAGGTGAAGATTCAATGTCTTGGCGTTAAAAGTTCCATCATGATAAGAACATCGTTTGATTCATTCACTCGATCAAGACATGAACTTACAGGACTAAATGATATTCTTCTGTTTTCCATGGCTTTTTACAGCAATATTACCAGCTGACGATCATGGACTTTCAGCGCGATCAAAAGCTCCAAATCCTACATTTTATTTCCAGGTACATACCCCTGGTGATATCGAATGAATCTACTTCAAAGCTTTTGAAAACTTTCCCATTTGAGTTATGTTCAATTGCTTTGGTTTTGCGTTTGGATTTGCAGGTTTCTCATCAGAAACGTGGACGCCATAGAAAATCAAAACTTGGGAGTGACATATTATCCCTCCTTAAGCGAACTAAACAAATAGCTTCATTGAAAGATCATCTCTGAGAATGCTTTGTAATAATTCCTTATGCATCAATGCATATCCTTTGTTCACTATAATATTAGCACAAGATCCAACACGTCGAATGAATATATATATATATAAAGCTTGATCTCGATAAGCTCTCTAATCTTGCAACCAAGGCACAGCTTGATGATAATTTTATTTTAGCTTTTGGTCTTTATAAATTAAGCTTATAATGTTTTTGGAAATTTAACTAATAATTTAAAAAAAAAAAATTAAATGGTGATATTAAAAGGAGTTTATGATAATGTATTTGTTGTTTAAATGTCATAAAGTTAAAAATATTTGAGTATACTCAAACATTTAATACAGAATTTGTGATATAAATTATGGGTCCCATCTCCACCGCCATATGACACTGCAACGAACAAATCCATTAATTGGGGCATAAGTGATTTACTCAGGCTACACCAAAGCTTTAAATTTCTTCTTTTTCGAAAAATAAATATGCGGTAAATAAATCAAATAATTTTTAACATGTTCAAACATAAATATAAGAATGACCAATTTAAAAATAATTTATATAGATACTCTCCTTTTTTTGATATAATTATAATCTTAAATTAATGTTTTCAGGCTAATTATCAAAATAACAAATTTGGAGTTAAATTTTTTTTCCATAATTAAAAATGGAAATTGATGGTTATCAGCAAAGGAAAAATTGAGATGACGTCAGTGAAGAAGGTTAGATATAATTACCATTTAAGAGGGTTAATTATCTACTAATAATACACTATTATTATGATTACGTTTAAAAAAATTCACCCTTTTTAATGCTTCCTCCATGCTACGAAATTGACTTAGCTCCAAATAACCCAAATACGAGCTAACCTACCTTTCATTCAATGCTACTAAATGATGTGTTTTCCTATCTATTTTATCAAATAACATAATCATAAAATCCCTTAATTTTATACCGTTTGATACGAAGAAAATATAGATGTAATATTTAATAGACGTGTTCAATTTTTAAATTTATATCTAATCGTTAGGAAGAGACATTTGTATATTTTTTATAACAATTTTCAAAAGTATTTTATAATTTTGTAAACTTTAAGTTTGTGTCCTAAAACGTTCTTAAAATTTAAAAGTTTTCAATAATTTCGCGTAAAATATAACAGTGTTATTTATAATTCACATATATATTAAAAAGATCCCTAACTTTATGTCCAATATACATATAAATTTGAAAAAATGTATACAAATTCCTATTAAATAATTATTTGTGGTTCTGTTAGACGGAACAAATTTGCCTAAATTTTTAATTGAGTAATAGTTTTAATAATAACAAGAGATTTGGAAGGCTCTTGTCTTCGGCTGTGTTTTTTTTTTCATTAAAAACGACAAAAATGACATAATTAATAAACCAAGACCCAGAATCCTGCCCTGTTTACTGGAAATCCAACGACTGCCTGCGAAGGTCAATACAATCGCCCAGAAATTTTAGTTGGGAAGGGATCACCTTAATCCTCATCATTTATTTCGCAGTATGGAAAGTGGAAAGAATATTTTTCTGTATTTACACACTAAGAAATCACTTGTTTTTCCTGTTTAAATACTGTGTTTCAACTTCAAGACCTTGAAATCAGAGCTCCATGGAAATCTGATAGTTTCGTGAAGAACAAGGGTTGTTCTGCTTATATTCGAAGTAGGCTGCCGTTGGATTTGACCTTCCTGCTGCCTGGTTTTGTTTTTCTTTCTTTTTTTTTTTTTTAAAGAAAAACAGAGTTGCTGCTTTAGCACTCTGCAGCAACACGTATGGGAAAATCAAGTGTGTCCCATTTATGACAACTATGATCTTTCAGCTATTGTCTTCTTCTTCTTCTTCTTCTGTAGAAAAAGAGAGAGCGAAAACCCCTTTACTCAAAGATTAAACTTCAGCTCCAAATCTTGAGCTCATTCCTCTCTCCGCCTCTGCTTTCAAACTCTCTGTTCGAAGTCAATGCACCGTCTCCTCTTTTTCTTTTAAGTTTTGTGCTCTGTAGCTTCACATGGGCGTCGGAATTCTCTGCAAATTTTGTGTCTTTTCTTCCTTTTGCACCGATTTCTCTTCTGGGTTTCGTAAGTTTTCTTCGTTTCAGTCCTTTTTCTCTCTCAATTTCGCTCCTTTGGTCTTGGTTTATGTGCTCTGTAGCTGTATGTTTAAATAAGTTGTTTTCGTATGAACTGTGATAAAATCTGCTTGATTACGTTATCGAGTTTGAAAATTTCAACCTTCTCACCGCGTTGTTTATTTATTTTGGCTCATCTGATGAACCATTTTGCTTTGTTTTCATTTGAACGCAGCCGTCCGAGCATTAGATTGTGGAAGGATTGTTTATTTTTAGAAGACAAGACCATGGAAGTATTGATGATTAGAAACTGAGGCTGGAGAAACATGCCTCTGGACGGTGTCAAATCAGTGGTTTGTAGATCATTTATCACTTGTGATGATCCAAAAGGGGTGGTTGATTGCAATATATTCAAGATATCCAAAGTAAATTCTAAGAATTTGGAACGGAAGGTTAGAGGCCGTAGGAGAAGTAGAAATCCAAATGAGGTTTTGGTATCTCAGGTAGAGAAAGAGGAGCTGATCTCTAATGAAAAAGATGGCCAATCTTCTCTTCCATTCATGGAGGTCTGTCAAGGGGCTGAGAAGTTGAACCATATGGTTGGTTCATGGTCTAATGGGATGAGATCTGCCAGGAAAACTGAGGAGATTGCTGAGGAATTGTTGGAAGGAACTTCAAGTTTTAGAGAATCTCTTATTATGCTGGCCAAGTTGCAAGAAACTTCGAATGAGTCGGTTCAGTTAAAGACGACGTATCGAAAAAGCTTTTCTTGTCATCTTGAAGATGAAAGTTTCCCAGTTGAGGTTCAAAGATCAAAGCTTTCTATACATGGTTCTTCCAGAAATGGACCTGATGAGGTAAAGAAGGTGATCAGAGACAACCTAGTGAGGCGAGATACGAAACGAAATGTTGCGGTTGGTGAAGAGTCTTGTTTTCATGATATAAATTTTGACTCGGGGTCGGAGATTCCATCGACAAGCTCGAGCAAATCTTCATTGATTAGTGACAATGTCAACTGTTGTCATGTTTCAACTTCTGGACAGAAGAATTTGAAACGTAATAATCTGATTGCTAAGCTTATGGGGCTTGAAGAAATTTCATCAAGATCACTGCAAACTACTCCAAAGGAGGGAACTTTGAGAGAAATACTTGAAAAAATGCCCTTCAACAGGCTTATAGAGAGTGACCCTGATAAAGAGTTTAAACATCATGGCTCTCACTCCTACAATCATTATGGTTCCAAACAAAGGTTGGAAAACATATTGCCAATTGTGTTGATAAAACACAAGCCTTTTCCACCTAATGTATTCAAGGAACACCGAGCACACGTCTCCTCGAACGAGGATGTTTTCGACCAACAAGCTATGCTAAGAAGCATGAAAAAGAAAGAACCGAAGCATAAAGAAGTAAAGAAATTAAGAAAAGGTACTGTTGATGCTAAGCAAAAGGCTGCAGAGAAGTTGAAAAGATGTAGTCCAATGCCTGATATGCCCCATGAGAAGGAGCCAATTCATAAGAAAATTCTTACGTCAAAGAAATTGACTACAAAAGAAAAGGTTGTGTCAAGACCACAGCATGAAGAAAAAGTATCATCCACTAATCCAAGGAAGAACAGAACTCATAAACAACGAAGCTCCATTCCAGATTCTAAGCCGGGACGAGCAGTGAGACCGATATCTAATGATCGTGACTGCCAGAAAAAGGAGGCAGCAGTGCCTGCTCGTTCAGAAGTTAATTCATTTGTGAGTTCTTACCTATCCTTTAACTTTTGGTACGCGAAACACTTTCATTTGTGAGTGATACAAAGTTTATTTTACAGACTCACATGGTTGAAGCCAAGAAAGATCATGACAATACTGATACAAATGAAAGTGCTAACCTTCCAATAAATCAACATTCTGCCACCCTTATGGCTTTAACTAGTATCGAGAATGAAATCGACGAGTGTGATACAAAGATTATAGGTAAAATTTCCATCACAAACAAGATTTGTTGCAATATCTACTGTTATTGATCATTCATCTTAAAGAAGTTCATCAATATAGAATCCCAAAGGGGAAAGCAAAATGCATTCATCCTCTGTTCTCATACTTGTATGCATCTCATATGTCTTCATCCAAGAGAGAGTCTAAGTGAGATTGAATAACTTTGCCATCGTCTAAATGTTTATGATTTATACTTGGTTTCATTCTACATCTTGTAGAATGCTGCAAGGAGAGCCCAAACTCTCACTCGCTGTTGAGCCCCAAACTCGAGATCAACACGAGTATAGACGAAGCTATTGATCCCAACAGTCACACCGAAACAGATATCGAGATCAACACGAGTATAGTAGAAGATATTGATCCCAACAGTCATACCAAAACAGATATCGAAAGCTGCGATCAAGGAATCAATCTAAAAGCATTGCTTTTGAGAAGTTCCTCATTTCTCTTTCATGTAGGGGAGCTTTTTGATCTGAATCTAAATGGTAGAACAATGGTGCAGGCAGCATCTCGCTGCAATGATCCTGAAGAAGCCCCCAATACGAAACCTTTTATTGATTATGCTATCGAAATCGTCAAACGTAAAGGCCGTGATGACTCACAAGTAGCCAATTCTTTATTGCTAGGAGATAGGTGCAAAACAAAGACAGAGATCTCTGTAGAAATACTGGTGAAGGAAGTGAGCGACGAGATCGACACTCTAACGAGTTACCAAACGATTCAGGGCGGTAATGTTGTTGTAGATACTGTATATGCAGTGTTAAGTAGAGACCTATGGTGCAAAGAAGTGATGAATGGAATGTGGGGTTTTGGTTGGAAGAATGGATCTTCCAAAAGTGAAAGAGAGGAAGTTGTGAATGACATAGAGAAACTGATTTTGAGTGGTCTGATTGAGGAATCCTTCACATAACAACAGAAAACTGTATCTTCTAGTTTGTATATACTAAAAGACTTTCAATTACTATACCCCTAATCTTTACATTTCCAATGCATACTCGAGGAAAAAGTTATCACATTAAAGCATGAACTTATGAACTCTTTTCGATCTTTTACAAAAGTCCATTGTTAACAAATATTGTCTGTTTTGGTCTATTACGTATCCCCTTGATTTCGAGTTTCAAATTTTGAGATGTTACAAATGGTACAGAGCCAGACACCGGTGGATAGTAAGATCCACATCGGTTGGAGAGGGGAACTAAGCATTTCTTATAAGATTGGAAACTTGGTTGGACCATAGGTGCGATGATTTACACCTCTCCCTAGTAGACGGGTTTTCAAACTATGAGGCTAACAACGATACATAACAGGCCAATGTAGACAATATCGACTAGTGGTGGACTTGGACTGTTACACTTTGTGTTGTGAATGCATGTCATTCCATTTAAGACGGAGTCCATATGATTACGAGGGGGGCACAAACGTAGGAACTTTCTTTCCTAGTTGATTGGTCTAACAATTTCTACCGTTTTGTGTGTTTTTTCTTTGAAAGAAATAAGAACTTCTGCAGCAGTAAAAAGAACAGGTATCGAAATGGAATCTAAAGTCATTCTAAACCGGTGGACGCCATTATAGATGCAGTCGGAATCAGGTGGCGAAGGAGAAGGATGTGGGAGTTTCTTAGCATGGTGGAGGCCATCAACAAATTGGGCATTTAGCTTCAATTTGTGCGTCTATTTAGGAGAACAAAATTCAAGATTTAACAATGCAGTTGATATCAAATCAATGATTTGAGACATGGAAAATACAAAAAGCATACATAAACTGAAACTGACCCGACGATTTGCGACGTTTTGAGGAATAAGGTCCCCAATTTCCCATCCCACACGCCATAGACGCCGACCTTTGTCCTTGCGACAGGGGAAAAGAAAAAGTGCAAGAAAAAACGAATTATATATATATATATATATATATATATTTATTATTATTATTATTTTTTTAAGTTAAAAAACTTTTAAAATTTAAAAATTAATCAGAGATAAATCTAAAATATTTTAAAAATTCAGCCTCTGACTTCAAAGGGTTGCCTTGTTGCCGGTCTACTGTCTTCGGGGCGAAGGTTTTTAAGCTGCAGAACGCTGTGGCTGGGCTTTCCAATAGGGGCTGCCGTTAATGGCCGACGAAAAAGCGGCGATTGCGATCGCCAGCAGAGATAGAGAGCGAGATCTACAGCTTCTAATTCCCGTTGCCGGCTCGCCAAATGACGTTGCTGCCTCTTGTAAGCCCTCATCCTCTTCATCGTCCTCGCAGCAGACTGGACGCGAGGTATTCTTTACTTCTTTTCAATTCATTTTTTTACCTCCTGATCGTTGGAAGCTAGTCAGTGGTGTTGCTTGTTGTTATATTGAAATTTCTGTGTGTCGCAGTCGATTTTAGGTTCGGTTTGTTTTTGTGTTAATCAGTTCAATCGTGGCAGTCGCCTTCCTCCTCCTCTTCTTCTATTTTTCTGTTTCTTCTCGTTCTTGTGTTGCTTGGTGGACTGCTTTTGTCATGGTTGGAGCACGAGTTCATCCTTATGTACTTTAATTATTCACTCTACCATATTTTATACGTTAGAAGTTTTACGCTTTTGGAATTATCAATGTGTTTCTCCACTGTAGGGTTCAATTGATCCAATCGATATTTCTGAATTGTGGCCCTTAGAGATTATGTTTCAGATGCCTTGTGGTCGCTCTTGTATGATTCATAAAAAGGCATTCCTCCAAGAGTTTGATAGCTTAACAATTCTTTTCGATTTTGAAAAATTACTGATGGAATACTTACAACTGCTTCCTCTCAAAAGAAAAAAAAAAAACAAAATGATGGGAGTATTTACTTCAGTACGGATGTTAAAAACTCACATCTTTTAAATGTCTAGTTCACTCTATGAAGTTATTAATACTATAGTTGGAATAGCTATGGATGTGTACTACACCAACTTAATTAGCTGAGGGAGAATGTTGAAATCTTTTCTTTTTATGCATCAAGCTTATTTTAGTCATTCTGTCATTTAAAATTGGAATAGCCAGTTACTTGTTATTCAAATTTTCTATCCGGGGTTCAAATATCTATTTTTTCTCCTGTGCAGACATTTTACAGAGTCTTTAGGAGCTGGGCCTCAAAAAAGTTCATGACCGGATGGTTTGTTATTTATTCTTTTCTTTGTAGTTAATTTTATTCAATGTTTTTGATGCTAAGAAAACATGGCATATAAACTAAAATTGCACTTTCAGCCTGCTGTTTGAAAACTGCACTTGAAATTTTGTTCTATTTATATAATGGAATAGAGTTGTTATTTCCCTCAGTAAGTATGTTGAGCAGGGTAATAGGTTTTGAATTGGAAATAAATATTTATTTGTTTGCAACTTGCCAGCATTTCCAATTACAGTTGTTTGTCATTGTGCTTACTGCTGAGTGATAAGTGATAATAGTGTTTTAATACCTTAACGAGTTACCATCTGCCTATTTTGCAGTGTCATTCTATTTCCTATTGCAATAACTTTCTATATAACGTGGTGGTTTATTCACTTTGTGGATGGATTTTTTTCTCCGATCTATGCAAAACTTGGAATTAATATCTTTGGTAAGCAATCTTTATCACTGAACACTTCGTCTCAGCCCATTCAGTCCATGTGCAATTTGTTTCATATGCATTTTATACTACCTACATGAGTGATCATCGTTATTTACCTCCATCAATATCTGTTTTCTTTTTGCTGCTCATATGCAGATAGGAAATATCGAAAATAATTATGTAAATGCTTATATTGCCAGATGATTAATGAGTGTTCGTTCATTGCGAAAACCTGTTAAATTGTAAATTTCAAAGTTTCTTATCATTAGCTTATTCTCATTTCTTGAATAGGTCTTGGATTTGCAACATCTGTATCGTTCATCTTCCTTGTTGGGGTGTTCATGTCATCATGGTTGGGTGCTTCTGTTTTGGCTCTTGGAGAGTGGTTCATCAAGCGCATGCCATTTGTTCGTCATATTTACAATGCTTCTAAGCAGATTAGTTCTGCTATTTCACCAGGTACATCTTTCGTAAGTGTATTTATTTAACTTGGTCAGGTTTATATATGAACCATCTATAATCTCGTCATTTTCTGTTAGATCAAAATACCAAAGCCTTCAAGGAAGTTGCCATCATTAGGCACCCTCGTATTGGTGAATATGCATTTGGGTTCATTACTTCAACTGTCACTCTCCAGGTATGTTATTTTTGCTTCAATTTCTTTCATTACATTCTGCCTAACCCTAGGAGATAGTTTGGGGTCACCTTCTAGACTTGTTGACATCTCGATATTTGTTGGTCATTTAATCCCTAGGAGATAGTTTGGGGTCACCTTCTAGACTTGTTGACATCTCGATATTTGTTGGTCATTTAATAAATCTCATTGGTCATTGTATCGCTTATGTATCTCTCTCTCTCTCTCTCTCTCTCTCTCTCTTCTCACACACACAATACAAAGTTGATTTAAAAATAAATNACCCTAGGAGATAGTTTGGGGTCACCTTCTAGACTTGTTGACATCTCGATATTTGTTGGTCATTTAATAAATCTCATTGGTCATTGTATCGCTTATGTATCTCTCTCTCTCTCTCTCTCTCTCTCTCTTCTCACACACACAATACAAAGTTGATTTAAAAATAAATTCTCTCTCTCTCTCTCTCTCTCTCTCTCTTCTCACACACACAATACAAAGTTGATTTAAAAATAAATGTTTGATTTTCTTATTGGAGCATATAATTGCATTTACATTTTTATATTTCTTGATAAACATGACTGGTTTGATTTATATTTAGCTGGTTTTGGAACCTTCACGAACATTTGTTACATGACAGCCTAGCATTACATATATGTAACTGATTTCTACTTTGCGTTGGTTTCATATTGTGGGATATCTTCTTGCACGTAGTATTTTTACTGTAAATGTTATAATTTGAAATGTAAACTTGGTTCATGAAAACAACCAACTTCAACCTATAATACCCTTATCACTTATCACACATGGATCCACATGCTTATTTCGAACATGAAAATCATTGACATTGTGGGTATAGCAATATGTTTTATCGAATAATTTATGTATTCATATCTAATTTTGTAGAAATGATATTTCGTTATTATATCTCTGATCATGCTTTTTATACATGCTTCTTAGCATTTTATTGATTTAAGGGTTTATTTTATTTTTATGGTTCTCGTGAATCTATCTTCAATTTTATATCTTAGATTCTTAGTTTTGGTTAAAAATTTATATTAATATTTTTTTCACCGTTTTTAAAATTGTATGAATGTGGATGGGCTGCTAACCATCCGTGGGCAGCCCAAACCAGTGTTTTTAAAGCGTGAGGTACCAAAAAAATGGGTGTTTTTTTTTTATGAGTTGTCCAATTGAAGAATGAAAGTAAATCAATAAGAAGGTAATGAAAAGTTCAAGAAAATTGGAGATTGCGGAGGAAATTGAACGTTTTCCGAGAATATTTCTTAATTTCTTCCTACAACTTTAAAAATGAAAAAAATGGCCTTCATTTGGCGGCAAGATGAGCTTTTCAGATCAGTGGCCTTAGGTGAGGATTAAGTTGCCAAATACTACTTTGTGAACTGTTTTCTTTTTATTTTTGGGTAACTTAATTATGTTCTTAGTCATGTTGCACCTTTTTCAACTGCCATAACCTGTAATGCACAGGTGCTGCGAAGTTTTATATACTGATCAACCCCCCACTCTAAATGCAGAGTTATTCTGGAGAGGAGGAGCTGTGTTGTGTGTACGTTCCCACCAATCATCTTTATATCGGTGATGTTTTCCTAGTCAACTCTCAGGATGTTATTAGACCAAATTTATCAGTTCGGGAGGGAATCGGTGAGTTCTTCTGTTTATGTCATTATCTAGTTTGACCTGAATTTCAAATGAACTAAAAGCCCCCAATTTCAACCCCCTCACACACACACACAAGTAATAATTTAGGAAATTCAAGGGTTGATCAGGAATTATCTTTCTATCTAAGAGGACATGACTTGTAGCTTTCTAAGAGTAGAAAGGAAATTAATTATTTAAATTGCAGAAATCGTCGTGTCTGGAGGCATGTCGATGCCACAGATACTATCCATACTGGATTCAGATATCCGGCCAATTGATGGTAGAAGACTGACTAGAAGCTGAGACCGAAGATGTAGAAATGCTGGCTGCTAATCAATATACGGTTTTGGGGATGACAATTTAGTTGCTCTGCCTGGCTGGGCATCAAAACCTTTAGTCGGCAAAGCATAACTTATAATAGAAATTTGTCTGGTAGTTGAAATTTAATGTCATAAAATAGTTGTTGATCCAGTATAGTAGGAAATGGATGTGCATTAGAACTTCTCTTCATTCTAATTCAATCGAGAGTGTTTACTTTCTTCTTCTTGGTGAGTCACATAGTTCTGTTGCGTCAGATGTATATTTGAGACTGTACATATTTTGCAGTGATATATCGATGCACTATGAAACACGTCAACTCAAAGATTTTTTGGATAATCAAATTTTTTTTTTCAATACTCATAACATACATTTTCTCGTATGATCATAAAGAAATAACCATATTAGCAGCCTGAAATCTTCGACATTGTGAATAAAATAAATTCGAAGTTTAGTTTCGTTAATGTATTTTTTGACATATCTTCTTATTGACTTCTCTTAGCAATGATTTTTAAATAGATATATTAACAAAAAATTACAAATTTTTATGTACACCAATATATTCATAAAAATCATTTAAATCAATAAATAAGGGTGTATTTAATTAAGGATCTAAAATGAAAATTTGGAAAGGAAAAAAAAAAAAAAAAAACCATATAATACAATTTTTTAGGGTTGCTCCGGTTAAATCGCAACTGTTCGTTCAATTTCATCCAACGGGTAATCAAGATTTCAGGTTTCCTGTAACTTCTCAGGAAGCGTATATTGTTAAAATGGATCCTCGCGTAGGTTTGTATAACTCGACGCAAATCAAGGAAAACCCTAGCAGCGAGGCTCCTTCCCCCTTCTATATAAAGCAACCTACGTTGTTTTCAATCCCACGCTTGCATTCGTCATTTAGGTCAGTGCAGTCTACCATTTTTTCAAAATTAGGGTTTTCACAGTCTGATTCTTTTATGCTTCTTCTTCGTTTCTAAATGTTGTACTGAAGGGGGCGATGACGATTGTCATGTTTAAGGTCTCGTTCGTCGTAATGGCTGTGTGAAATGGCCTTGACGACCATCCTGATATATCACCACCCATATTCTGAGTCCCTTTTATTGAAATTTCTTTACGATTCTCTAGGATTAGAAAATGGTTTTGGGTCTTTTCTACTAAGATTTAAATTCTTTTTACCTTTTGTGATGGCCAATGATTATATATTTTTATTGACAAGCATATGTCTGAATTCAAGCCTGTTGAAATCTCTAATCTACTCTATGAGGCCATTTGCATTATCCGTTCTCCTTCTCTGTTGATTAGCTAGGTGATAGTATCAAATGTTTTGTTGATTCTGCCATTTGGAAACTGATTTATGATTTGAGTCCTGTGCATGTCGATGATGAGGAAATTGGTATTCGTACTGTATGATCTTTTGTGATTACAATCACCTCTACTGCCTTCCTTCTGAGGCTTTGATGTCGTTTTGTTTTGTTTTGTTTGTGTTACCGTACTTTTGTCTTTGATTTTGGAGGGTCGAATGAGTCTGGGTCATGTGATGATTATAAGCATAGTTCAACTGAATGTACTGTGATTATACATCTTTTAGTCTTTCGCTCCTATCTGATGATCCATTTCATTTTATCCTTTCACTGCTTCTTCATTTCAATGTATTTTACAAAATATTAGTTTTTCATCATTGGCCAATTGGTTAATTTGGTGTAGACTCTGTCGTTAGCGTTATGTAGTTTCATACTCTTGTTTATCAGTCCATTTTTTGATAATATAGGTGAATTTGTTCGTACATCTTCATTGCAAATTTAGTACTTATTTTTACTATTTTGATACGTCAGTTTTCATATTTGTTAGTTAAAATTTGCTCGTACGATCTCCTTATCTATTATACAGTGAAAGTACTCTTTTTGGGGTATTTATTCAGTGAGATACTTTTGAAGCTATAATATCTCAGCTACACTCTTAGAAAGAAGCTTTTGGCTTGTGAGGTTTTTGCTGGCCGTTCACTCAACAAGTTGTAAAATCCCATATGCCTATCGAGAGCTTATATTGACGTAGTCGATTCCTTCTGAAGAAAATTCCACCCTGTGACAATTCTTTCAGTATTGATCATCCAAGGAAGAAGACTTGTATACATTTTCGTACCTCGTGTCTTTGAACACATTTAATAAATTACAGTGTTGATGGAGGTCGAGCTAAAATTTCTGACTTTGCTTCTTTCTAAACTGCTGTGATAATGTCATCTTTTTGGAACAATTGGATTGTTTCCCATTGTTCAATTACCATAAGAATGTTGACAGAAATTTATTACCACAAATTATTTGGATTGGTTATCTGATGGTATAACAACAAAAAAGATGAAATTTTGAACGATCTCATAATGAACTAATACAGCATTTCTTGAATTTATTGTTCTGGCTACCTTCGAACATGGTGTAGAATATGCTGATTCAAAGAGTAGATTACCTCTTGTACGGGATGGATTAAAAAAGTATCCTCTTTAAACAACAGTATCACCACTGAATGCTATTTTGGGAACGTTATATTAGTAATTATTTTTGTAAATCAAATAGAAAGTGATGCTGATGGCTGCCTGAGAACTGCAAAACTAAATAAAAGATAAATGCTTGACAACAGAAAGAATCAAACTCAGGCACAAAATATATTTGGCATACATCAGAATGGAATCATTGATCATCCAAGGAATTTTTTAGAAACCACTCAACCTTGTGCAATCCAAACAACTACAAAGTCTTGAATAAAATATTTAGAAGTATAATGGAAAAAATCGGCTTATTTTTGTTCTATTTGCGGATTCAACAAAGTTTACATGATTATAGCTGTGGGTTCTCCTGCAATGATCATGAGATCAGAGCCAAGCCAATGGGGAAGGAGCCTTCTGAGAAAATGGAAACCACCCAAAAGGAAGCAGGAAAAAAGGGTGGCCTCCGAACTATGCCTTTCATTATGGGTGATTTTCAACAAGTCTTAATAAAAGTTTTGATTCATACATTTGTAACATGTTCATTGACAAAAACTGTGTATCTGCTGCAGCAAACGAGATATTTGAGAAGATCTCAAGTTTTGGGCTTCATACAAATATGATATTCTACTTGACGAATGAGTATCACCTGGATAGTGCTAAAGGAGCCATCGTCTTGTTTCTGTGGTCTGCTCTGACAAACTTTTTGCCCATTGTTGGGGCTTTTCTCTCTGATTCTTACTTAGGTCGGTTTAAGGTCATCGCCATGGGGACGTTGGTTACACTTCTTGTAAGCACTGATTCATTTCCTCAAATTCCAACTTAACTATTTGATTTTTTCAGCCGCTTTTTGATCAATCTCTTCGACTTCAGGGAATGGTAGTTTTATGGTTAACAGCCATATTCCCAAAAGCAAGGCCTCCACACTGTAAATCACCTGGGGAATTTTGTGTATCAGCAAACTTTGCCCAGCTAATGCTTCTCTATTTTGCATTTCTTCTCATGTCAATCGGAGCTGGGGGAATTCGGCCGTGTTCCCTGGCGTTTGGTGCAGATCAACTAGAAAAGCCTGGCAACCCCAAAAACCAAAGGACTATGCAAAGCTTCTTCAATTGGTACTATGCTACGGTTGGGGTTTCAGTCACCATATCAGTGCTCTTTATGGTCTATCTCCAGAACGCCGCCGGTTGGGTGGTGGGTTATGGAGTTCCTGTTGGACTTATGATGTTTTCTACCGTCATGTTCTTTCTTGGGTCTTCACTGTATGTTAAACTAATGGCAAATAAGAGCTTGCTTCGCAGTTTGGCTCAGGTAATCGTTGCTGCTTGGAAAAATAGGCACTTGGAGCTACCCCCACAAACTTCTGATAAATGGTTTTACCATAAAGGTTCAAAGCTTGTCAACCCAACGCCTAAATTGAGGTATCTTACTGATCATAACGTTTCATAATTGCTGCTTTCGCTTTTAGTGATCCTAAGGAGGATGATTCGTGTGTCTTGTTTTAAGGTTTCTAAACAAGGCTTGCATGATAAGAAACAAAGAGACAGACGTGGATTCTAATGGAATGGCCAAATTCCCATGGAGATTAACCACGATTCAACGAGTTGAGGAACTAAAAGCAGTAATCAGAGTACTTCCCATTTGGTCCACTGGCATTGTAATCAGTGCCACCATTAGTCAATACACCTTCTCCGCTCTCCAAGCAATCACAATGGATAGACAAATAACACCCCACTTCCAATTCCCTGCAGCTTCCTTCGCCGTTTTCACAATCCTAACCCTCACATTCTGGGTTGCCATCTACGACCAAATCATCGTCCGACTGCTTGCAAAGTTCACCAAACGATCAAATGGGCTCACTTTCAAGCAGAGGATGGGCATCGGACTGGCAATATCATGCTTGGCCTCCGCAGTTTCAGCAGAAATCGAGAGAAAACGAAGAAACAGAGCATTTCATGAAGGTCTAGCCAACGTACCGGGAGGAATCGTGAAGATGTCGGCGATGTGGCTGGTGCCACAACACTGCCTGGCGGGGCTGGCCGAAGCCTTCCACGCGATAGGGCAGATTCAATTCTTCTACTCGCAGCTGCCGAGGAGCATGGCCAGCATCGCAGTAGCTCTGTTTTCGCTTGGAATGGGCGGAGGGAGCTTGCTCGCTGCCCTGATTGTGAGCGTGGTCAAGAAGAAAACGACGAAGAATGGGAACGCGGGATGGCTTTCGAATAATCCGAACCAGGGCCATTATGATTACTATTACTGGGTGCTGGCCTTGATGGGTGTGGCTAATTTGTTTTACTATTTGATTTGCAGTTGGTTGTATGGAGATGAGAAGGAGATAATGGAAGAGAGCAGGATTTGGGATGATGATAAGGAAGCCATTGAAGAGGATGGCACCTACAATGCTTAACTTCAGGGCATGTATCATTTATACATCTACTATACAATGAAATTTCCACTCCACATGTATAATTCAACGTTTCCTTGAGTAATATTCATTCCTTTAAAGTCGAAAACTTGCATTTACCTCACGATACATACCAACGAGTTGTCACAGTCCGTTTACGTATCACGTTTACCTCACGATTTTAAAATGAATATGCTAGAGAGAAGTTTCCACACCCTTATAAGGAATGCTTTGTTCCCATCTCCAACCATTGTGTGATCTCATGCTGTGGATTGAGACGATCGATCGATTAGTAGTTTAACATTAATATCATTAATTTATTATTAGCATAACAGACTCAACATTAATATCATTAGTTTATTATTAGCATTACAGACTCTTTATACATATATAAAGACTGGCGCCTAGCACAGGCAGGCTAACACTACGAGAAACTGATCCCATTTCAGGTGTTACCAACGCAAGTTTGGAGACAAGCCTTATCCATTTGGTCGATTGTAATCCCAGCATTGCATATATTAGCTAGAGCTTGCGTGTATTTCATCCCATATCTTGACATTCTTTTGCAATGCTTCTCATAGATTTTCACCTGTGTTTCAGAGACTCCATCAGCAGAGTTTTTGATAGCATAAAGTATGGGTAGTTAAGCACAGGACTTGAAAATTGGCTTACATATTTCTTAAAGCAGTTCCAATCATCAACGAAGGATTGTCCATGTCCCCTAATACGGTTAAGCACTCGTGAGCTCTTTGCTTCTCCAAACAAAAGCTCACCAATTTGATTTACACTGTTGTCAGCATGCCTTCTACTCAGAATTTCATCCTCTAGCCGCTCGCTAGCCTCCATCTTTTCTCTAGACCCATATGGGGCATTTTGAAACTGATATCAAACCAAAGCTCTATAAGTTAAGGCTACGTTGATTGCCATCGTAATTAGAATATATATACATTGTTTAACAACTCATACCTTGTACCAGTAATGAAGGAGGCTAGCATCACGCTGGCTTACCCCATTTGATAGTGAAGAAATGATATGAGTACTCTTAACAGAGGATTCATTGTTGTTGTCATCAGAGGTATTACCAAAATAGGTGTTGAGGAAATTGTTCCCAATGCTTTCGTTTCCATACAACATTACATGAGATCCGTACCCAACTTTATCAACCGAAGTTCTTCTTCGAACCTGGGAATATACACGAGAAAATGTTTATCAGTAGTGTAACAGCCCAAGCCCACCGCTAGCAGATATTGTCACTTAAGAATCAATAAGCTTACCGTATGATATTGTTGGTTCAGAGTTTCCTTGCTCGAATCATGCTTGTCACTGCATGTCACGACATGACATGACACAACACAAATTCATTAAGTACCGTGTTAAAACACCATTGAACTCAAAAGTTTAAGCCAACGGGTTACCTGTCTTCCATCCAAGCGACGCTGTACAAATCTCCGAGACAAGTATCATAGCCTGTATGAGGAGTAGGAGACTGTCCAGGACAATATGCAGCCCAGCTATCCTCTGTTGCATTTGATGCCGTTGTTGCATATATATTCATGTTTTCTGGAAGCAATCCTTCGAACAGACTCCCGGCCTCGCATGCCTCCACATATATCACCATGCTTTTGTAACTCTTGGCTTCATGTTTCCTTTTCAGCACGTCCATTAGGTCGTTGGAGTAAATATAGTCACCCATGGGCATTCCTATGATCATGTGAAGCAATGTATGGTCAAATT